TCAAACTGCCAAGATGTTCTCAATAAGCTATTCCCATTTGTGTTATATACATATATTGGCTTGAAATCAATATCTAATTAATATTAATCAATGGTATTTTGTTCTGCAATGCTTCAACAAAATAGCCTTTATAAAATCAAGGTAACTAATAACCATATTTGTTTGTTTCCAAGTTTCATCTATCATTCAGATATGGCTTATGTCACTGGTAAAATTTTCAACAGTACAAATTCAAACATATGCTTTGTAATTTTATTCCCAGTGCATTATTATAGGGATTGAGGAGAGGATTTTTAACATTTTCCTTCTCTGTAAAAATGAGTATGCAGGTAAAAAAGTGCATCATAGTATTTTTTAATAGAATATAATTCTCTTATTTTATAGAGCTTGACATAGAATATCTCTGTAGCAGACTCTGTAGTTCATTGTGGGATCTGTTCAGAATTTCAGAACTACTCTTTCTTCCAGAAAAGGAACTAAAGTATGTAAGCCCTGGGTGCAGCAACAATCTGTGTGAAAGTCAAAAATCAAAATGAAAAAATGATACAACCAAAGGTATATTAAACATGATCCATTAAAATACAACACAACAGACTTCATGCAGCATTAAAATTTAATCTTAGAAATTTTCTAGCAAGAGGCTACTACTGCAGTTTTTAACTCAGTCAAAGCGCCTGTTAATTTCAATGGGACTTTTGCTTGAGTAAGAATTGTAGGACAGGCCTCCATAAATTAATAAGTAGTATTGAAGTCTCTCTGAAGATTTAGGGTTTTATCCTGAAAGAGACTGAACACACTGACAATCCAGAAAAATAATTAAGCACATGCTGAAAGGTAATCATTATTATTTGTTATTGACGTCAATGGGACAACTCAGTTAAGCACCTGGATAAATGTTTTGCTGGATCATGGGCAGAGTGCTCAGCCATTATAGCCTGATCCTGCAATCCTTACGTACACACGTATTTCCATTTGAAGGCAGTATCATATAGTTTCATATCACCTGCTCTATTGCAATCCAAAGCTTGTCTTTTTTTCTTGAGAGGTTGAAATGGTTTATAATGAGTCATCTGTTCATTACCTTTGCATATACAGTATTCTGTAAACTACAAATAGGCTCATAAGACTTATTTTGCAGGTCTTTTATCCTTTTTAGAAGACCATTAATAAGAATTCTATTTCCTGGTATTGTCTTTTAATATTATTTTTATTATTTACATAGCAACAGAAGTGGACATAAAAAGAACAGGAGTACTTGTGGCACCTTAGAGATTAACAAATTTATTTGAGCATAAGCTTTCGTGGGCTACATCCCACTTCTTCGGATGCATGTGGACATGGCTCTTAAGACTGTATAATTTGACACACACTTGTTTTTAGGTCTTTTGTTTCTACTAGGTTTCCTCTGTATTTCAAGGTCATTTACAATATCATATTCATTTTCTCCTCTTATTGAATTTACCATGTGTTGCTGTTCCCTTTGCTGTTGATGTCATGCAACACTCTGGGCTTGTCTACACTTACTGGGGGTTCGACGTGCAGCGATCGATGCATCAGCGGTCGATTTAGTGGGTCTAGACCCGCTAAATCGACCACAATCACTCTCCCGTTGACTCCTGTACTCCACCTGAACGAGAAGAGTAAGGGGAGTCGATGGGAGAGCGTCTCCAGTCGACATCACATAGTGTGGACCCTGCGTTAAGTAGATCCAACTACTTCGACTTCAGCTACGTTATTCATGTAGTTGAAGTTGCGTAACTTAGATCAATCTCCCCCAGTAGCGTAGACAAGGCCTCTCTTAAAGGAAGTGATGGATGCCCATTCTCATTTATTTTATTGATAGCTGTAGCTCCTGTTTAAGATGTTTGAAACCAGAATGAACAAAGCAATAGAAAATATATTGTAGGGAACTATATTTATAGAGCACCTATGATCTTGGTACCCAAGTGAACAGTCCCACTCTGCCAAGGGGATTGACCTATTAGGTCTTTTCCATCTCTAATTTCTGAGTCTATAATACAAATGGGTGATGTTTATAACCATAGTGCTTGGCTAGATGTATTGTATTTTTGCTTATAGAATCATAGAAATGTAGGGCTGGGAGGGACCTCAAGAAGTTATCAAGTCCAGCCCCTAGCACTTGTGGCAGGATCAAGTAAACCTAGACCATCCCTGACAGGTGTTTTTCCATCTTGTTTTTAAAAGCTTCCAGTGATGGGGACTCCACAATCCCCCTAGGAAGCCTATTCCATAGTTTAACTACCCTTATTGTTAGAAAGTTTCTCCTAATATCTAACCTAAATCTCCCCTGCTGCAGATTAAGCCCATTATTTCTTATCTGATCTTCAGTGAACATGGAGAACAATTGATCTTCAGCCTCTTTATAACAGCCCTTAACATATTGGAAGACTGTTATCAGGTCGCCCTTCAGTCTTCTTTTCTCAAGACTAAATATGGCCAGTTTTTTCAACCTTTCCTCATAGGTCAGGTTTTCTAAACATTTTATCATTTTTGTTGCTCTCCTCTGAGCTCTTTCCAATTTGTCCACATCCTTCCTAAATTGTGATGCCAAGAATTGGACACAATACTCCAGCTGGGGCCTCACCAGTGCTGAGTAAAATGGGACAATTACCTCCTTTGTCTTACATACAACACTCCTGTTAATACACCCCAGAATCATGTTAGCTTTTTTTGCAGCTGCATCACATTGATGACTCATATTCAGTTTGTGGTCCACTATAACCCCCAGATCCTTTCAAGCAGTACTGCTACCTCAGTAGTTATTCCCCATTTTGTAACTGTGCATTTGATGTTTCCTTCCTAAGTGAAATACTTTGTACTTGTCTTTATTGAATTTCATCTTGTTGAATTCAGACCAATTTGTCAAGGTCATTTTGAATTCTAATGTTCTTCTCCAAAGTGCTAGCAACCCCTCCCAGCTTGGTGTCATCTACAGATTTTATAAGCATATTCTTCACTCTATTATCCAAGTCATTAATGAAAATACTGAAGAGTATCGGACCCAGGACTGACCCCTGCAGGGCCCCCCTAGATATGACCTCCCAATTTGACAGCAAACCATTAATAACTACTCTTTGAGTATGGTCTTTCAGCTGGTTGTGCACCCATCTTATAGTAACTTCATCTAGACCACATTTCCCTAGTTTACATCTGAGAATGTCATGCAGAATTGTGTCAAAAGCCTTAGTAAAAGCAAGGTATATCACATCTACTGCTTCCTCCCATTCCACTAGGTCAGTAACCCTGTCAAAGGAGGAAATTAAGTTGGTTTAGCATGATTTGGTTTTGACAAATCCATTATGACTATTCCTTATAATCCTATTTTCCTCCAGGTGCTTACAAATGATCGTTTAATAATTTGCTTGTAAATCTCTTTTGATCTTGACAGTATTCCATTGTCTCAAATGAACTTTCCATCATTTGGAAGGAAGAAATCTGTTTACATTTTATCATCTTGAACCTTCTGTTTATCACATTAACCTATTATCTCCCCAGACTACAAAGGAACGTTCAAATGGATCTTTCAGAATGTAATATATTCAGTAAACTTTTGATCTTTCCATTTCTCTCTGTTTCTCCATACTTTCTTTTCTCTTGTCTCCCTCTTTTCATTTAAGTCTTGTTTCTATGCTCTATCTGTGAGTATCTGCGATACTTCAGTTCATATAAATCTGTTTCCCTCCTAAAACCTGTATAGTAAATGGGATTCATTCTACTGATTCAGTAGGAGTTTGATCAACAAGCCTACGAGCCAAATAGATATATTTTCATAATTGTGTATATGGTGATGCAGCACCAGTTCCTGTTAGTAATGAACTAATTCACTATCCAGCAAGATGACAGTTTGGCTTGCAAGACATTTTTTGTTGATCTTTGCCATCAGCTTTTCTCTATCATATTTTCTTATATCTCACCATGTACAAATATATAGCTCTGCTGAATTGGTTAGACAGTACTTCATTAATGTATAGTTTCCTCAATGCCAATTAACACTTATGTAAATCAAAACAAACATTTTATTTTCCATATTTTATAGTGTTAAATTAAATTCTAGAAAATCATCTACATTGTTACAGAAGGACTTTTTAAATATATATGTACCTACAACAGGGGAAACTGCCACACATCCCAACTGTGTGGTTGACTATAAAAATAAATATTTTTTATGTCAGGCAATTATTTTCCTTTTAGAGGCAAACTGCCTTTTCTAGGCCTCCTGAATTTAAAAACATTCCGCTTTTCCCCCCTCTACATTTAACTGCAGATGTTTAACTTACTGAGACCTAGAGATAGAGCAGATCACAGGATGATGGACATGAGTAATATGAGATCCTCTGATGACAAATGCTATCTAAGTGCAGAGTAATAGCATTTTCCATTTAGCCTAAAGCACACAACTTCATCCCTAGCACAAGGGCTTATCTACACTAGAAAATTTTGATGCTTTAATTATACCAGTATAGTTAAAGCAGTAACCCCCATTCCAGTGTGGATGCAGTTATCATTATAAAAGTGCTGTTATAGCTTATTCCATTTCAGGAATCAAAATAAGCTATACTGCTACAACTGCATCCACACCATGGCTTTTACAGTAAAACAAACAAAAAACCCCATGGCACTAACCAACATATTTATACCCTTATAACTCCTCTAGCATAGACCACGCCTCATTCCATTGACTTCAGCGGAATTCCACCTGGACTGAATCTGCCCTTATGTTTGAGAGACAATGAAGGGCACTGTTGTTACAGACACCCATGCTGGTCCCAGGATATGAGAGAGAGACAAGGTAAGTGAGGTGACATCTTATATTGGACCAACTTCAGTTGGAGAGGGAGAGAGACAGACAAACTCTGGCACTCCAGAGAGCTCTTTTCCTGCCTTGAAGAAGAGCTCCAAAACTTGCTTCTTGTCTCACCAACAGAAGTTGGTCCAATAAAAGGTGTTATTACCTCACACCCACCTTGCCTCCGTATTAGAGAGGAAAGACCAGGCAGGACTGCCCTGGGTAGCCAGGCACAGTAGATTTCCTTTTCTCTTGCCCAGCTTTTGACTCAGGGCAAGGTATTACCCCAGATCCTTGCTTCCCACGCCTGCTCCATTACTCCCCCCACCCCACCTGCTGTCTTTCCCCTTGGCCTCGGTGAGCCCACTTTTCCCAGCCTCCTCCCAGGCTGCCTGCTCCCTAGTGATGTGCTAAGCTTTCCATTTCCTCTCCGCCTGTTACACAGGGCGGTTGGTGGAGCTGGTGAGAGGCAGCTCTCGCTCTCTCTCCATTTTCACACAGCCCCTCACCCCCTTTGCTGTCTTTCTCCATCTCTCTCTTGCTGGACTTGGCTTTATTTGGCGCTCCCGGAAGCTGCGGTGCGTGTCTGTCTGCCGGCCTGACTGACACCAGCTCCCACGGAGAAGAGGAGGCGGCAGCGGCCAGGGATTTTCCCCGCAGCGAGGACGCGAGCAGGGGGCTCCTCCAGCCAGGTAATTCCAGAGCGGGCCGGGCGGAGCCCGCTGTGGAGGTGCCGCAGGAGGGCTGGGGTGGGGGCAGCCTTGCGGGGCGATCCGGAGCGGGGCGGTATGTGTGTGTACGCGCGCGAGGCGGAGCGGCGGCCGCAGGGGGCCGTGCAGAGGGCCTTGCGTTGCCAAGCGGCTGCTGCCTGCAGAGGACATCTTGGGGGAGGGAGGGATGCTGAGGGGGACGGTAGGGGGTTTATTGTACCATGATCCCCAAGCAGTGCTGCCCTTGCGGGCTTCGGGGGCGGGGCTGCATAGCGACAGAGCTGCCTTTGCCTCCTCTATCTGGGTCAGCTCTGCACACTGGTGCTGCCTCCCCCACATGCTCTGGGCGGTGGCCCGCTGCTGGCCAGGGCCCCGGCCCGCTCTTCAACTTTCGGCTCAGCCCCTGAAAAGCCCCAACATCACCTCTCCCGTCCCCCCACCCCCCGTCCCCACTGAAGCCAGGCTGACAGCTGCACGCAGCACCAGAGAAGCGCTTCCAGAGAACCAGGGCTTTTATTATTACAGCTGTACCTGCATATTCTGCTTTTCAACCTCGTATTCAACTGATGAGGAGGAGGAGGGAAGATGTGTGACAGCCCGTGAGAGCAGCACTGCAGGATTTGACTTGTTGAGGGTAGATAGAGCCATAAGGTTTATTGGATTAGAAACCCCACACCCGCATCACCCTGTCTTTCTAAGAGATTGTCGGAAACCGTCTGGTTGTTCCTTTAGATCTGAAGGTGTCAAGTGATGCCCTGCTGATTCGGACAGTGCAAAACTAAGATTGGCTAATTTTGTTCAGGAGCCAGGACTGTTTGATGGTGGCTAGGCTTAAATTGTGCTAGGAAACACCTAGAGCCACAGAAGCAAAATTTTAGGTGACAAGAGATTTAGGTTAGTGATTAGCCTACAGGTATAGCTTCGTGGAAAGCAAAGGGTTAAAGAGCAATTTAGGATATACTATCGCAAGGGAGGACATGTAACAGAGAGACACTACTTATAGGGATGCTACAAAACCAAAAGGAGGAAGGTTGGGGGCGGGAGGTGGGTCAAGAGAGAAGAATCAAGGAACTCAAAGCCTACACCTTGCATTTTGAAATAAATTAACATTTTAAAGGAATGCTCTCGACAGATTCATTTTGCACAATAGCAGAGTAGAATTAATCATGAGCCCACCTGAAAGACTATAAAATAAATGTCTTTTTTTTTAATGACTGGGAATTTAGAGCTATATGTTTGCAATAGACGAACACAGCTGATGGCTTATATCAAATCAGACCAAATTTAATCATAATCAGTAAAAAAATTTAAATAAAAGACTTTTGAAAAAAATGACTAATGACTAATACAATGATAGAATATATTTAAAGAAAAAAACATTGATCTAGAGGCAGCTATATTAACAGTTGTTTAAAAAAAGGGGACTACTGTGTTTTTAAAAAATCCTGCAGGATATAAAGACAAAAGTGGTGTTTGGTTCAGTGGGTACCATGCTTCATTGTTCTATGAAATCATTATCTGCAAACCATTCATATTTCAGGGAGTGAGTGGTATTTTTAAAAGTATATTATAGATGGTGGGAGCGGTTAAAACCCCCACAAAATTGCAAGCTGTTAAATACTTTCTCAAAGATGTCCTTATTGCATAAGGTATTAATACATTAGCAAAGTGAATATTTTCACATCCTAATTTTTATGCCTCAGACATATTGAAGCAGGTTTTTCTTTTGTTTACAGCTCACAGAACGGTAAAGTTTCCTTTAGCTTTTGTTTAACACTATAAACTTTAAAACAAGAATTTCATAACAAAATTGAAGGGGGGGGGAGAACAGGGGAAGCTTTTAAACAATGTAATACTATGAACAGTGCTTTTTCTATAGGGAAGCAAGGTGTGTAGAATAATATGACATTTTAGATCTTTGTTGTAATAAAATGTTACAGGGTCCTTAGAATATTTCTGTGATTCATCAACCTCTTCTCCCTCAAGAAAGTAAGCACTGCTCAGATCTAGACGGTGCATAGGCAGAACTCTAAGTGTAATGAATAAAATATGTTTTCTCTATTAAATAAAAATGAAAAAGGTGTGCATTATTTACTACAGTAGGTCTAACACATTACATGGCTTAGGCATCCATTGTAGACAATAGCAAATACTTAAGTGAAAAAAATGCTTAGTATCCTCAGTCCTATAGCTAATGGTGAGTGATCTTGGTATACTAAGATCCTATATTAACTAAAGTATAAACAAAGAAATATTTGTTTACCTATGTTCATATCAGACTTCCACATTCCAAACCATAACTCACCTAAATCTCTCTTGCAAGAGCAATACTGACAATCCTGATAGTGGCCCCAAAAGAACACTAAAATTACCATCTATACAGGACTACATTTGATGGGAATCTGGGATTTTACCCTAAATTATCATAGACTGGAGAAAGAATGTGGCCCAGTGGAGTGGGCAGGAGGACTGGAAGTCGGGAGACCCATATTTTGTTCCTGGCTTTACCACTGACTTTTAGTGTGACTTGATGCAAGTCATTTAATTTTGCTATACTTCAGTTTACAGTCTTTAAGGAATAAGGACATTTACCCACCTTAGTAAAATGCTTTGAGATCCAGAGAGGAAGAATGCTGGCATGCCAAGTACCTTTAATGGAATGTTCACTGTGGTTTTGCGAAGACTTCATTGCCCTAAAAATCACATGCAAAAAAAAAAAAAAGAATTTTAGTAGGTGTGTCTTAAAAAGACACTTTTATAGTAAAAATTGGGAAAATTCCTTTACTTCTCACATTTATTAGGCAAACAAAACAGTAAGTTAACCCGGACTTGCACTAAGTTTTCAGGCACGTAGATCTTATAACAAACTAAGGAAGAGACTTTGGCTGCATTATTCATTTTTTGAAAATTCTTTCCTCTTAATTCTAGAAGTTTCTCTTGTATTTGGAATGCAAAAGGAAAGTTATTTTGTATAGCTAACTTAACAGTTATAAATTCCCATGAATGGTAACCAAAGCTGTCTAGTCTATGCCAAGAGTTCCCAAATCATTTGGAAAATGGATAATAGTTTATCAGACTAAGGGCCCAGTCAGACTACTATCGATATCAGTGAGAGCTTGTTCAGGCACTAAGTCTTTGCACGTACCTCTAGTTCATCTATACATATTAACTTAGGCCTGGTCTACACTGGGGGTGGGGGGAGAGGGAGGTCAATCTAAGTTACGCAACTTCAGCTACATGAATAACGTAGCTGAAGTCGACGTACTTAGACCTAGTCACCACGGTGTCTTCACTGCGGTGAGTCGACTGCAGCCGCTCCCCCATTGACTCCGCTTGCACCTCTTGCGGCGGTGGAGTACAGGAGTTGACAGGAGAGCACTCGTGGATCGATTTATCGCGTCTAGACTGTAGATTCAGCGGGTAGTGTAGACATACCCTGACAGTGGCACTTGGGCTGCTGAAGACTTCAGTCTCATGGTTGCAAGAGGACGTTTCATCGAGTGTTAACACACATACAAGAGAGTGACCCACTCTTATGAGGTGTTGAGCCAGTGGTGGCCGGTGGTCTTCAGCATCTCAAGACTTATGCTGGCTGGAACAGTCAAGAGTACTAATTATAAAAGCCTGATGTGCAGGTACTACTGTGCATTGGGAATCACTGGCCCAATGAATAACGTTTGTGGCCTAGTTAAAAGGTAGATAAGTGGCCAACTACATAATTGGCTAAAGTATCTGATTTAGTTCCAAGGCAGTGAGTTCAAATCCTATTACAGCATAGGATTTGTAATATTTCAGTCCAGTTTTTCCATCAATGTAACTACATATTAATGTGCTATTTTTCTGAAGCAAGACACTGATTCAACACATTCTGCACCTAACCACCAGTGGTTTAGGGAAAAGAATAATTCAGCCATATGAAGATTTCATGTCAATCAGAGCAGCCATGTTAGAAAAGGTTAACTGTACAAATGGTCAAGTTAAACAAGACCTAATCAGGCCTAACTTGGTCATTCTGGAGTTCATAATGCCAGACATTGAAACTCTGATGTGGGATAAGTTGCGTACAACTCTGTCACCCTGGGATATATGCCGGTTAGTTCTCATAAACGGAATAAGGTTGAGCTTGGTCACTATTAAGAGGGAAGATCTTCAGATAGAAACCAAGGTGCTATAAGAAATGTTGGTAATTCAGTAGGTGGCACTCTTCATTCTGTGTCAGAAGCGAACACATGCCCCAGCATAGTTCTGGAGACACTGTGGTATTAGAGCCTTTGTCTTTGGAACGAGACATGAAAAAAGGGCCTGATTACTTGTGATCAGTAAAGACCACAGTGCTTTTTGCAAGAGTAATAATAGTACCCACCTTGTCCTAGCCCTATTCCAGACATTCTTCCAACTGCCATTTCTTTTGTAGTTTAAACAGGATATGGCAGTATTCTTCACTTGTTCTAAACTACTGTGAGTTGTTAGACCAATGCTATATGTCACACCAGAAGTGGCTGCATTCCCATATTGAATGAAGTGCTTCCTCTGCTTATAAAGTTCAGACCTAATGTGGTCCATGAGTGATGGATTTTATAATTATGATTGGCTGAACTGTCCTCATTTTCTGATTGTGAAATTTATTGGATCATGTAGTATATACATGGTAACTGTTTTCCATCCTCCTTTCTCAATCCACTAGTACCAGTTAAAAAGTCTACCCTAGTTCTCTTACAGAAATGGACCAATTCTCATTAATTTAAGTCAGATTCAAATAATGTTATTCTACCTCCTTTTGAAGAAAGGCTCCTTCCCCATCCTTAAGTACTAGAATAGCAGGGGCAGGACAGAGGAGTGCTCCATGAATCCATGGTATGTTTCTCTGTGGTAGCATGAAAGAGGATTTGGGTGTGGTGGGAAGTGGGCTAAGAGAGTGTGGTCAGTTAATATGCCACCGGCCTCACTTAGAACTCGATATAAATTTCTTAGAAGAGAATTGG